ACAACTACAGAAAATAACTTGAACACCCTACAAATTCTGGGAATTATTGCACAAGAAACAAAAACGGAAGAAGCATACCAAATATACAATAAATATAAAAGAGAATTAAAACAGCAAGTAATGTATGAACAAAAACTACATAATGAAATAGCGATATACCAAGCTGAAAACAGACAAAAAAAATATGGCAAATAATAAATAAGGAAATAAAAAGAGGTAGAAGTAGCATAAAACTGCAGAAAACCGGGAGCAAAGTTAATATCCGTAAAGCAAACGATTATATGATTTTACAAATACGCAACGAAAGTTCCTGTTTTCTAAGACCAACTGATACTACACAAGTCAAAACAATAGTGAAAAGTTTTAAATCAAAAATAACTGGGGACATTTATGGTATGTCTGTTGCTTTTTTGAAAAGAACTATAGAAGGTCTATCTGCACAATTAGTGTATCTTATTAACATGTGCCTCAAACATGGAATATTTCCAAACGAATTGAAGTTAGCAAAAATCATTCCCATCCACAAAAAAGGGAATGTAGAAAAGCCAGACAACTACAGGCCCATTTATATTCTCCCAGTAACTTCGAAAGTCTTCGAATACGTAATAGCAGATAGAATTTCTACTTTTTTTTTAAAGAGAAAGTTTTTCACTAAATATCAACTGTGATGGGCATATTTTAATATTCAAAGTTACATAAATTATTGTTATTATATAAATTGCAAATTAAACAGTTTTTATTAAATTATCGAGTTCAAGTAAAGTCCAATGCACCTCGCCGTCGGAAGTGTTAAGTTACACTTTGGCCATCGGCGCGTGGTTACAATAACGCTGAGCAATAGAATTGTCAATAATTCTAAGTGAAATGCATTCGTAGCCACATAGTTTTAACGAACACAATAGACATGTGATAACTAAAATAAATTAGTATCATTAAAACTAAAAAAGTGTTTAAATATTGACTAATACAAATACAAACACCCTAACCACCTGGAGACCCAAATGGGGTCAATACATGGCGACCCTGCCAGCCGCAGTTACGAAAACTAAAAGTAAGAGAGAAGAAAAATTGAAAAGAACGAAAATGGGCAAAAATCAAACGAAAAACAAAATATGATGAGAAATGTAAAATAGAAAATTATGTAATAGGAGATAAGATTTTATTAAAAAATGAAAGTGGTTATAAAATGGATTCTATATTTAAAGGTCCATATAAAGTGGTAGAAGTTAAGAATCCAAATATAGTTATTAAGGTAGATCGTAAGTTTGTAGAGGTTCATAAAGATAGAGTAAAATTGTATCATGATAGATAAAAAAAAAACAATTGCACTATGTACAAATTTTTTTTTTTCTATTGCCCATGGGAGGTGATATGGACATATTTTAATATTCTAAGTTACATAAATTATTGTTATTATATAAATTGCAAATTAAACAGTTTTTATTAAATTATCGAGTTCAAGTAAAGTCCAATGCACCTCGCCATCGGAAGTGTTAAGTTACACTTTGGCCATCGGCGCGTGGTTACAATAACGCTGAGCAATAGAATTGTTGGCACAAATGAAATACATAAGTAGTCAATAATTCGTAGCCACATAGTTTTAACGAACACAATAGACATGTAATAACTAAAATAAATTAGTATCATTAAAACTAAAAAAGTATTTAAATTTTGACTAATATAAATACAAACACCCTAACCACCTGGAGACCCAAATGGGGTTAATACACAACACGGCTACCGTAAAGCAAAATCTGTAGACACAGCTATACAAGATACCGTAAACAAAATACTGGAAGCAATAGATAAAAGAAAATTTGTAGAGTTGGTAGAAGTTGATCTATCAAAAGCGTTTGATAGTGTAAACCATGCCTCTAGATAAGCTGTATTACTACGGTATTCCGGGTGTTACACATAACATTGTGAAGACATACTTGAATGCTAGGATGTAAATCGTGGTGGTGAATGGAGGAATATCTAGTGCTGCAGAGATCTCAGTGGGTGTTCCTCAGGGTTCGGTATTGGGTCCTTTGCTATTTATCATATACCTAAATGACATACCAAGCATTATACTACATGGAAACCTTTGCCTCTATGCAGACGACACAACTATCGTTTCAACGGACGAATCAATAAAAGATGTTCAAAATAACTTCAGCAAATCCATGCACGCTGCAAAAGAATGGTTTAATAATAATGGTGTAACCGTAAACGAAGAAAAGACGCAATGCATTACCTTCAACAACGGACATAGCAACAAACTATGAAATTATTTTAATAACGTTTTATTATTTTACTAATAAATTTTACTTCTATGAGGTTATATGGATAAATTTATGAGTTTCAAATGATAGGAAATTTAAAATTTTGCAATATACATAAATAATAGAACAATAGATTTTCATTTAAACATTTAGTTTGTTGCAAAAATTTACGCACGAGTAAATTAATTTATTTGTTTACTAACAAATCACGCATTTTCGGAGAACATAACAATAAAATAATTCGGCCAATCATCATAAACATTGTTGTGATAAATAATTGTTATTAATGAATACACAAATAGTATGTGGAAACTAATTTAAACTTTGCCCACAACCAAGACAACGAGTAATCATGATATTTTCCATCCATGCAGAATCAAATTAAGTAATTTCATCAAATCCAATTTCGTATACTTTATATATATTTTAGATGCACCCAAATACATTAACAAAGAGTTTCATGGATGTATGTTTATCCGTTTTATAAAGCAGAATCAAATGTTGATAAACACCGAGATGATAAGGGTTTCTAAATATTTCATGTTTTTAATGGATATTATCTATATTTTTACTTTTACTTAAGCTAAAATTATTAAAATTACCTTGATAACATTAGCGTATTTATAAAACGTATGACTACTGTTTATTTCAGTACCTAAAACGCTTCAATACAGTATTTTAATATATTAAACCAACTATGTCAGAAGAACTAAATCGAGACCAAACTAAGTAAGTTAGAGAATAATTTATTTTATAATCTTGCGATACTAAGATTCCATAAAATTATTTAGTATAGTTTCACCTCGAAATATAACAACCACAACAGATGAATTCCAAACAGTAGCAATGAAAATAAAGTGTTTCCAAGACAAAATAAATCTAAGTAATAATAAAGAATCGTCATCTTCTCGATATCAATCAGACTCGAAGGACGCGTTAAAAATAAAAGTTAAAAAGACGGGATTGTATTATGGTTTGAATTCAAAAGTTCCAACTTATAAAACACAATCACCAGATCGTGGAAAATTGTTATTGATCAACAATATTAATTTTGAGATGGAAGGAAGGACAAGAAGCGGCTCTAAAGTTGATCAAGAAAATATTGTAGAACTTTTTACACAACTCGGGTTTAGTATAGTCCAAGAGAAAAATAAAACCAAATCAGAAATTGAATCTATCATAAAATCGTTCGCTTCTAATCAAGATTTAGAGAAATACGACATGTGTGTCACCATTGTTATGAGTCATGGGGGAACAATAGATGGACAAACGGTGATTGAAACTATTGACGGGCAAAGTCTCAGTACTAAATGGATCGTGGAACAATTTTATGGAAGTAGGTGTGAAGGGATGATTGATAAACCGAAAATTTTTATTTTTCAATGTTGTAGGTAAGTTACTTAAACTAGTTTAATAGAAATGATAATATTGCATAATTTATTTTTTTGTAATTATTTTAAAGAAATCCTATCGAAATTGACTTAAAAATCGATTCACAAATATACTCATGTCCAGTTCTTCAACAAGCAAAAATAAGAGACGTCTTAATTTGTTATCCCACTTTACCAGGTAATAAATTGGAATAAATTAGTAATTATAAATAAAAATTATCTTTGTAGGTTTTAGTGCTCATCGAGACACAATCTCAGGTTCGTGGTACATAAACGACTTGTGCCGAATATTTATGGACAATGCCCATGACACAGACGTAGAGGGTCTTTTAAAAATGGTCGATCAGAAATTAAGTAATCACGACATAGATGAGAGTGATTTGCAAACAAGCACCTATGAAAGTTTAGGTTTTAAAGTTTGTTATCTAAATCCTTGTTGATTTTTATTGATCTGTTAATTAAATTTGCTTTAAAATGGTATTTATTTCATGGTGATATCTCATTTCGTTGTTGATACGATGTTGTCAATTGCGTTTACTTACTTTAATCTCAATAACTACACAGGTGATTTAAAAGAATCGTATCACCGCGTTTAATAGGAACGACGAAAATATTTTTGTTATGTTTAAACTAGATTAAAATGGTTTTTAAATAATTTTGATGTTTTAATTAGTTTTTGAAATATGATTTTTTAAGATAAGGTGTTTACAATCTTAATCTATCACAAATGAATGTATGTATTAATGTATCATCAAAAGCCAACGCATACGTGCTGCCGAGGCAATGATTCAAGGACTATAAAGCAATAAGAAAAGGTTCTAGGTATAGTGTTAGTTCTAGTTTTACACTAGTACTGTTACTAGAACTAACATTAGACCTAGAACTAGAATAATTTGGGTTTAGCCGCACGTCTCTAAAGACGGCTAAACCCGAATGATTCTAGTTCTAGGTATAGTGTTAAATCTAGTTTTACACTAGCACTGTTACTAGAACTAACATTAGACCTAGAACTAGAACCATTTGGGTGTANCATAACAATTAAAACTAGAACTAACACTAGACCTAGAACTAGAAAGTTTCGGGTTTAGCCGTGCGTCTTCAGACGCACGGCTAAACCCGAATGTTCTAGTTCTAGGCCTAGTGTTAGTTCTAGTTTTACACTAGCACTGTTACTACAGTAAAGCTTCGCTAATCCGAATAAATTAAAACCAGCTCAATTCAGATTATGGAAGCATGCGGATTATTGAAGTCATATTTAAATATTATCAAAAAAAGTCTTATAAATACTTATTTATGGATTTATTGTACTAGATAATATATGCAATACATGTTTTATACAGTTAATTTAAAAAAAATCAAACAACTTTGTTTGTCGCATGCAGTCTTGTTTAAATTTCATGGCGCGTTGCCGTAGAATTCTAAGGGTTGTTACGGTGTTTAAATCGACTGCATTCTCCTCCGCCCATTGAATACATGTGAAGCTTTTAATAGCATTCTCATGTTTTACTTTTAATTCGTTTTCGTTTGTATCAGCGTCTTCATGGAGAGAACTGCCGTCACTATCCAGCGAAACATGATCTTTATCACTAACAATCCAATCGTTAACTTCTGATTGCGAAGGATGATGATCATTGTTTATTTGCTGGAGCATAGCACCGATTTCTTTTAATTCTTGTTCACCTTGTTCTGTTTTTTGAACCGACATCCATTTAATTTTTAGAATTGACAATGGAATGTCGTCATCAGGGTCCTTTTCCTCATCTGATTGTCCAAATACATTTCTCCAACATTTTGCTATTAAATTAGCCGATAGTTTGTCCCAAGCATTGGCAAGCATGAACACAGCATCCTTAATAGAAATATTCTTCAGTGCTTTGGAAATATCGTCTTCCTCTATAGATAGAACATGTTCTAAGAGACTTTTCCGGTAATACACTTTCGTTAAACGAATTGCATTTTGATCCATAGGTTGGATAAGTGGAGTACAATTGGGTGGCAGAAACATTGTTATAATTTCACCATCATCGCTTATTAATTTGGTTTCCGATGCGTGACTTGGCGCATTGTTGATTAACAAAATTGCTTTACCACTGAACGTGAAACCATTTTACAAAAAGAGCTGAAGTCATCCAAGCATTTTTTGTCGAGAAATATTCAACTGGAAGGCAGGCACAGTTTTTAAAAGCTCTCGGATTTTTTGCTTTTCCGATAACCAACATTTTAAGTTTATGTGTGCCATCTCCGTTTGTACAAGCAAGAAAAGTTACTCTTTCCTTTGATGTTTTTCTCCCTGGAGCAGTTCTTTCTCCGGCATGCACCAACGTACGATCGGGAAGTAGTTTCCAGAATAATGCAGATTCATCTGTGTTGTATATTTGGCTGGGTAATACATTCAGCTCAGTCATTTTTTTAGTGAATTTTCGTAAAAACGGTTGTACTGCAGATGAGTCGCTAGAGAGTTTCTCTCCAACCACTTTTAATTGACGAATACCACGTCTATTTTTAAATCGACTGATCCATCCTCTGCTTGCAATAAACGTTTTGTCTTTATAACATTTAGTAAAAATTTTCAGAGCTTTTTCTCTAAAAAGTTAGCTGTGACTGTAGCATGTTTTTGTCGCTGTAACTGAAACCATTTATACAACTTATCTTCCATTTCTGGATATTCTAGTTTTCGCAAAGCTTTTCTACGCGCTGGAGTTGCGACACAACTTGCAATGTAACTTTAAATCCATGAAAAAGTCCATGTTAATATATTACCGATTTGAGAAAAATAGTAGAATGTTATACATACCTATTTATTTTTTCTTTATTTTTTTTAATGCCAGAAATGGTTGACACACCGACACCATATTTTTCTGCTAAGGCTTTTCCACTGGTACCACTACTCAGTTTTATTAATATTTGTTCTTTTTCCGCGATTGTTAACGTCTTGTGCGACCGTTTCGGTGGCATTTTTACGCAAAACTGAGCGTATAACGTAAACAAGTAACTATAAACTATAAAACTAAACGTGTTCCAACTTGTTTAAACGGCCACACAAAAAGACCGTTAATTCCGATTAGCGAATCTTCTAGCAATTCGGATTGCAAGGGACATAATGCAAATTTCACGTTTTCTAATTTTGTTCGGATTACAAGGGAATTCGGATTTGGGGGTGTTCGAATTAGCGGAGCTTTACTGTATGTACAACTAACACTATACCTAGAACTAGAATCATTTGGATGTAGCCGCACGTCTTTAAAGACGGCTAAACCCAAATGTTTCTAGTTCTAGATATAGTGTTAGTTCTAGTTTTAGAGTAGTACTGTTACTAGAATTAACATTAGTCCTAGAACTAGAATCATTTGGGTTTAGCCGCACGTCTCTAAAGACGGCTAAACCGGAATGTTTTTAGTTCTAAGTATAGTGTTAGCTCTAGTTTTACACTAGCACTGTTACTAGAGCTAACATTAGCCTTAGAACTAGAATCATTTGGGTTTAGCCGCACGTCTCTAAAGACGGCTAAACCCGAATGATTCTAGTTCTTGTTCTAATGTTCTAGTTCTAGGCCTAGTGTTAGTTCTCGTTTTACACTAGCACTGTTACTATGTACAACTAACACTATACCTAAAACTAGAATCATTTGGGTGTAGCCGCACGTCTTTAAAGACGGCTAAACCCGAATGTTCTAGTTCTATGTATAGTGTTAGTTCTAATTTTACACTAGTACTGTTACTAGAACTAACATTAGACCTAGAACTAGAATCATTTGGGTTTAGCCGCACGTCTCTAAAGACGGCTAAACCCGAATGATTCTAGTTCTTGTTCTAATGTTCTAGTTCTAGGCCTAGTGTTAGTTCTCGTTTTACACTAGCACTGTTACTATGTACAACTAACACTATACCTAAAACTAGAATCATTTGGGTGTAGCCGCACGTCTTTAAAGACGGCTAAACCCGAATGTTCTAGTTCTATGTATAGTGTTAGTTCTAATTTTACACTAGTACTGTTACTAGAACTAACATTAGACCTAGAACTAGAATCATTTGGGTTTAGCCGCACGTCTTTAAAGACGGCTAAACCCGAATGATTCTAGTTCTAGGTATAGTGTTAAATCTAGTTTTACACTAGCACTGTTACTAGAACTAACATTAGACCTAGAACTAGAATCATTTGGGTTTAGCCGTGCGTCTTCAGACGCACGGCTAAACCCGAATGTTCTAGTTCTAGGCCTAGTGTTAGTTCTAGTTTTACACTAGCACTGTTACTATGTACAACTAACACTATACCTAGAACTAGAATCAATTGGATGTAGCCGCACGTCTTTAAAGACGGCTAAACCCGAATGTTTCTAGTTCTAGATATAGTGTTAGTTCTAGTTTTACAGTAGTACTGTTACTAGAACTAACATTAGTCCTAGAACTAGAATCATTTGGGTTTAGCCGCACGTCTCTAAAGACGGCTAAACCGGAATGTTTCTACTTCTAAGTATAGTGTTAGCTCTAGTTTTACACTAGCACTGTTACTAGAGCTAACATTAGCCTTAGAACTAGAATCATTTAGGTTTAGTCGCACGTCTCTAAAGACGGCTAAACCCGAATGATTCTAGTTCTTGGTCTAGCGATGCACAACAATTGAAACTAGAACTAACACTAGACCTAGAACTAGAAAGTTTCGGGTTTAGCCGTGCGTCTTCAGATGCACGGCTAAACCCGAATGTTTCTAGTTTTATGTCTAGTGTTAGTTCTAGTTTTACACTAGGACTGTTACTAGAACTAAAAAAGCAATGCGAACTGAATATCGATTCAGTTGAAGGCGGTAAAGATGTACAGTCTGTTAATTAATAAATTATAAATTAATAAATATACACTGTATACTATGATATTGGTTGCATATTTTCAATGATGATGTCGGGTACGATAATTAATTAACACACTGTATATGCCAATAAATATTCTTCACATAACGTTATATTTTTCTCTGAAACACCTTAATTCTTTGGAGTCAGGTTTATCTTGCCATAGTTTTTGCCATAGTTCGATTTCGTTGTTGATAATTGATAAATTATAAAATTGGGAAAAGACTTCACAAGCTTCTACGAGGTCTTCAAGGGACATGTCTAACATGTGAACCAGGTGTAATTTTGTTAAAGAAAATGACGGGGTGTTTTCTTCAGAAAAGCGAACGTCAGGGGAATGAATAATCGAGTCTTCTGAGGCTCGATTAGAGGTGCTGAGAATTTTGAGTGGCTTGCTGCTGTGTGGTTGTTCCGATGTTGTTGTCTCCCAACAATACGGGGCACTGACTTCATGTCTTCTCCCAGTGCAAGTTTTTCTGCAAGGATAGTAGCGTCCCTAATAATTTCATCTGTGACGTTTTCCGTACCGTTACGTTGGTTTTTTATTAATTGCAAAATGCGGCTAATGTGCTGGGATGCCTTAACTGCATCCAAAGCGGATTGCAGCACGTTTATCACAGGTTCCATCATAGCCGAGTATTTGGCTATCAAAATAAAGCTTAGAATAACGAAACTCTAGAAGCTGCTGCATGGAGCTGATAAGCATTTTTTCTAGTCGCATTATTTATTCTTATTTTCTTCCCGTGACAAGGTTTCTAAAATCTCCATTTTAATAGGATAATTCTTTTTAAAAACTCTAATATTTTTGTGTTTCTCGCTCCACCTTGTTTCGCAAAGCCTGGAAATATTTGGTATCTATTTGCGTCTCAAAACTGATTCTTGAAAAAATGTAATAATATCTTTGATGGTACCTTCGGTGTTCCGGATTTCAGACAGACTATTTAGATCATTAATGACTAGATTTAATTTGTGTGACGAGCAGTGAAAGAACAAAGCTTTTTTATATTTTCTGCGTAGGATTGCTTGCACACCACCTTCTTTCCCGGACATCGTCGAACAACCGTCAAATCCTAAACCAACACATTTGTCCGGATCAAGATCTTCTTCTGCCAAAAACTCATCTACTGCTTTTGCAATACATTTCGCATCCAAAGCATCAAGCTTGACAAATCCGAGAAGGGCAGCAAATGTTCTATATGGCAGAACAATTGCATATTTTATTACTTATAGTACATCTTTTTAAATCTCATAAAGTACCAAGTCGCATTAAAATCTGGTATATGGCAGCAAAATTATTTTACATTATAAAATATTAATCAAATAATAAAAGGAAGAACAAAAAAAAACTGATAAAAATAGACCGAATATAATATTAAGTACAATAACGCATATTTTATTACACATTATTCTTTAAATTCTAAATATCAGCAAAATTACTAAAATTAGATATATGACATACTTATCATTAATTAAAGGTAACTTGATGGGCAATTCAACTAGCTCACAATATACAGGTGTTCCATTTAAAAAACTTAAGCAAAAGTCATTTGAAAAACATCAAAAGTAACTAAGCTTTATGAACACGCTGTATAGCGTATCTAATATCTTTGGATACTATCATCTACTTACTGGCTTTCACTATTATCTGACATAGTTTCAAGGCAAAATTGAAAAAAATGTTTTTACATAGTTTTTAAAAAGATCCTGCAATGAACACATTTTGGAAAAACAATTGAATATCTTAGAAACTATGAACGTTATGAGTTAATAACATATTCGGTTGTATAAAAAAATTTAATGCTATTCATAATATGATAAAATATATAGGGTGTTCGATTTCACAAAATCACATACTCTCCGTTACGAATAAATGGGAAACCCCTGTATAAGTGGAAATAATTTTACGTAATAGAAAGTGATGTGTCAAACAACTTTTATATAAAACATTTTTTTCTTAAACAGTTTAGCAACTATCGTCCGCCGGGATACTAATAACTCACCCTGCATTTCATGGCCTATAAATAACAAAAATAAATAAAATCTATGCCTTTCTTTGCATGATTTTGATTGATGATGAACATGTACTGAAGATTTGTAGAGAATTAAATTCTCTATATGATAAACTAATCAAATATGGGGTGTTCCATTTAAAATTTTTAACTTTT